GCGAGCCGATCCAAGGTGCTCCTCCGCGTGGACGCTGACGCCCAGCGGGTAGGGGGCGATTGCGCGGATACGTATTTCATGAGCATCAACATCACGGGGAAGTGGGTGGAGCAGAAAATCCGCGCGCTCGGGCGGGCTTCTGGCACTGGCGTTTCCTTCAAGGCGGGCGCCGGGGCAGCCCACACGGGCACGAAGTGGATGTCGTTCGGGAAGATCACGCTGAAGGTCGTGCACGGCCGCACGAAGACAGGTTTGCGGCGCGCACAAAAGGAGTAGAGCGAGGGGGCGGTACCCTAAGAAGGCATGGGACTCCTGATGTTGGCTGGCAGAAAGTTCGCGCATCGTGCAATCCAGTCGTCGGAATAGCGCGTTTCACTACTCGCAAAGTGCCTAGTCGCAAACGTCCGACAACAAACCCATGCTTGCCTCGATGTAATGGATTGTAAATCCCATGCGGCGGATCCAGGCCATTTGCGAGCAGTTCTTTGCATGTATGTGTTAGTGGAACGCGCTTGTTTAGAGTAGGAGGGGCTTGGCAGAGGTCCAAATTGGCCCTGCGAGGGGGAATCGGCGCCTGCGCCTTCGGTCCGGGTTGCGCAAGCCAGCGATCAGGCGTGGCGTACCTGAACTTCTTCGCTCGGAATTTGAGGCACACGGGCTTCCTCGTGGGCGGGCTCCTCGGGGAGGACGACCATGCTGATGCGGCCGAACCGAGCAGCGCCTGCAAGCGCGTCATCGAGAGCTGAGGGTCCGAGCCGAGAGCGCCTGCAAGCCCCTCCTCCCCCCATTGCCTCTGCGATAGCCGATGGCATGGCGGGGCCCCTTGCAGTTGGGCCGCATGGGGTGCTGCCTCTTGTGCGGCCGTCGCTTTGCCCTCTCGGGGGACATCAAATGTACGCCTACACCGATCCTGGCCAGGCCGACCCGGGGCCCAAGATCGGTGTAAGTGCCTTCTGGCCAGGCCAGGAGGGCGTATGCACCGATCCTGAGCCCAGGGTAGGCCTGGCTAGGATCGGTGCAGGTCCTGAGAGGTTGATTGAGTGCATCATCGGGATTGGCAGGCATTTCTATACTTGCCTAGTCTGGCCTCATCCGGCTCAGTCTGGCCTCATCCGTCTAGCCTGGTTTCCTCCAGACTAATCTGGCTTAACCCGCCGAGGTATTTCTTGAGTCGTTCTCGAGCCAGTTCATTGATGCTAGGTTTGTTCGCAAAGACCTCTCAGGCGTTGTTGTGGGCGGGAAGCGTATCCATATCCATGTCATCGCGGTGTGGACTCCCCAGCGGCGATCCCACGATCACAGGGGTTTTTGCGCAGGTGCCCCGCGCGGGACGCACCCATGGGATCGCGATTACGCGAGTCCGCTCCTCGGCATCCAGACTGCGAGGGCGTGGACGCCACCCGTGGTCAGCCTTCCCCCCTTCTCTTCGGTACCACTCCTGGAAAGCGGGCCTGAGCTGGGTGAACGCAAGCCTTAGTCTTTGTTGTTTCGGGCTCGGCCCTGTCGACGTAAAGCGCCGTTTACGTGTCCCGCGTGCGTGCGGACAAAACCTAGCCTCTCCTTCGCCTACGGTGCGAGCATTTTGAAAGACCACCATGACGTCACTGCCACGTATGACACAGGCGGCGACCGGTGGCGATTAGCAGCAGCGACTGGCTGCGGCTTCGTTCGCGGGATTGGCTTCTGGCGCCAGACTCTGTCTTCCAGCTGCGCTGCCGCGCCCAGCCGCCACCGCGCTTCGCTTTGGGGGGGTGGGGGCTCGGATTCGGGCGTGCCCCCTGGCCCCCCAGATCATCGATGTCGGCTTCGTGTTCCTTCGGGAGGCCAAGCGCCCAGGGGCTCAAAGCAGCACTTGAGCGCACGTGAGGTTCGATGCGGTGAGCGCTGTATTCATTGCTCCGCAAGAGAAATAGCAAGACAAAAAACAAGTGGGTCGACATGCACCAGCGGTGGTACATCGCGTTGGCGGAAAAGGTCGTCCAGAAGTATCTGCAGATTTTCAGTGCTTGCCAGGCTTGCCAAGAAAGTCCAGCACTGCAGGGTTGCCACCAGTGGTCCCGCGACGCCTTGGACATTGGCAGTTCGTTTTACTGTTGGCAATTCCATTTTCCACAGCCTGCTCTGCGAAAAACAGGCCCCGCCCATGCTCCTCAACCTGCTGAGATTTCTCATCATCCCTACCCTCCCCGTTGGAGCTAGGGGGGGGTCCGCTCACGCGAAACAAAAACTGATGCTTCACGAATACCCACCAGCCCGTCCAGCAGAGATTCCCAGGCGAGTTGCGTGGATCGGGGAGGTGTAGGAACCCACAGTGACACACAACCGGAGGGCAGGCGGCCTATCACCTGCGCATTCCCTTTCCGCTTCCTCCTCGGCAGAACCAGGGGTCTCCTGTAGGGGCGCCGCTGAGGCTCTTCTGTTGGACTCCTGGAGTTGGTCGTGACAGCCGAGAGGCGTGAAGATGCCGGGAGTTGACCACAAAGGCAATTCGCCTCTCGGGGCCCTCTGATCTCCTGGGGCGTTTCTGTAAGCGCTTGGGGCTCTCTTTGGATTCACCAGGTGCGTTCCACTACTCGCAGAGTGCCTACTCGCCAGCGCCCGAACAGCAAACACATGTCTTCCTCGATGCAATGCGTCGTAAATCCCCCGCGGCGGAGCCAAGCCATTTGCGAGAGGTTGCTTTACGAGCCTTGGAACGCGATTGTCTATGTATGGGGCTCGCTTTGGAGTCCTCTCAGGGCCCTCTCCTGGAGATCCTCGGACCTGGGTGTGCCAATGCAGGAGACGGGTTAACAAAAAATGGCGTTTCAAATCAAGGTCCCTCCTGTGCCGTCTCGCTTTCTGTTGTCGCCCGTTGGGGCCTTCGGGGGCATCCTCTGGAGTCGACCTCGTGGCGCACGGTTGCGCTGTGCCTCCCCCCTGGATGCGCATGGCCTGGCTGCCGCGGAGTTCGGGGCCGTGCCCCTCGTGCTTCCACTGCCGCCGTGCCGTCCACCCTGCGCTGGCCAATCCATCTTCGCAGCAGCTGCAGCCGGCACGGTGGCGGCTCGAGCGGCGCTTTGCCGCGCGTGTCGTCGGTCCTGCCGGCGGCATTTCGGGGACTCCCACGGCCGTTGGGCTCGCGCGGACGCCCGCCCGTCGGGGTTGGGAGCGAATCGCCTGGCGGAAGCCGCGGGCTCCGCTGCCGAGGCGGCTCCACGGGCTGCCCGCCAGCAACCACACCGCAGCGCGAGCCAAAGCCCAGGCGGCGCCTCTGCGGCATGCCGCGGCGCGTGATGGGGCCGCCGACGCGGCGTCCGCGCGACCCGGTCCGCGATTCGACTCACGCGATCCGGTTCCCCGTTCGAATTCGGCTCGACCAGATCGCGATCCGGTTCCCTCGTTCGATCTGGCCGGTTCGCGATCCAGTGTCCAGCTCGACTCGCCGGCGGCCCGCAGCCATTCGGTGCCAGGCGAGCTACGGGTTTTACTGCTTCCCGAGTCGGCGCAGGACCTGCCTGTCTGCGCGCAGCGCCGCGCCCTTGTCGCGCCGCGCACTTGTCGCGCAGCGCCCCTGTCGCTGTCGCAGCGCGCTGTCCCGATTCCGTGCAGGGCTGGCCTGCCGCGCGCAGCGCCCTTGTCGTTGCGTGCGCCGCCGTCGCCGCCGCTGGACGCGGCGGAGGTGCGCGCGTACCCTCGTGGGCCGATCCTTCACTACCACCATTGCAGACCACGGGCGGCTGACCTATGGTAGTGATTTTTGCTAGACGCGTCGTCGCGTCGCTCAGCAAAGCGCTACCCCTGCGTGTCGTTGCGCCGCGGCCGCCGGGGTGTGGTGTGCGATCGGCGCCGTCGGGGCTCGGGGATCAGCACGTTGCGCCAAAAAATTGATGAACCGTCGTCGGGGCGCGGAGGAGACCTCTGTCCTGTCGGGGTCCCCGCCCGGCCCCCCCATAGGCGCGAGTTGCAAGCCAAACCCTTTGCAAGCCACGCCCTTCGGAGTCGCCGAGGGTACCCAGAGATCTGATGTCCTGATTTTTTCAACACGGCGTCCCCAAAAGTCTCGACCCATTCCCCAGGACCGGTTTTTCATCCTGAGTCGTTTGTTGACGGTCCCGAGGCCCGGAGAGGGCCTCTCGGTGCCAAAATTTGCGAAACACCTCCGTCTTTATTTTTTCGGTTTGATTTTTTCGCTACTTTGGATCTCTGGGTAGGCCTGCCATGTCCGCCGGCCCGCCCTCCACGCTGCAGCGCCCAGTCGCCCCGCCACCCCCCCGGGGGGCGCCCCGCGGGCTCGCGAGCACGGCGCTCGTGCCCGCTGCGGGCCGGATGCTGCTCCCGCTGCGCGCGCCCGGGGGGTCTCGCGACGGAGGGGCGTCAGGAGGGGGGGGGGAGCGAGGAGAGAGGGGGCTATGCGAGTGGACGATCAGAGTGCAGGAAGGCCCTTCGGGGCTTGGACCGCCCCGCCGCGAGCGCCGCCACCCCGGAGGGCCTCTGGGCCAACGCGGCGGGGACAGCAGGCTTGGGCCCTCCAGGGATGCGCCAAATTGCGAGCTCGGGCCCCCCAACCAGTTACCCCAGAGGGCCTGGGCGGGCCGGGGGGTGGCCGGAGCAGGAGCGAGGAAGGAGAGGGAGGCGGGAGGATGAAGGGGGGATTGGCGCCCCTAGTTTTGGCCCCCCCCCCCATCTCGGCCTGCTGCAGGCCCCCGCTCCGCCCCCTTTGGTGCTTCGGGGTTCATGGCGGCTCAGGGGCGGTGGTTGGGACTGGGAGCGTCCTCTCGTTTAAACCGCCTCTCGGCTTTGGCTCGCTCGCTCGTTCGCTCGCTCGCTCCTCCTCCTCCTCCTCCTCGTCTCCTGACGCATCGAGCTTTCGCGACCACGCATTTTGGGGTGGGGTCATCCCCACGGGGTCAAGGCATCCTTGGGGGTCTCCCTTCGCTTGGGGGCGCCTTGGGGCGCGCCGCGGGCTTGAACCCTTTTTCCACGCCCCAGGACCTTGGGGCGCGCCGCGGGCTAGAACCCTTCTGCCTTGGGGCGCGCCGCGGGCTTGGGTCCTTTTGGGGCGATGCTGGGCTTCCCGGGGACCAGTTTCGGTCCGTGCGCAGGCCCTTCGAACGCAATGGCCGCCAGGCAAGAGGGACATCGCATTGTCTTGCCTCGATTTTGCAGGTGGCGGGGGCGCCAACGGGCGCCCCCCCATTATTGAATGCAGTGGGCAGTGGACGTCCCTACCGACGAATGCTCCCCCGACGCGGCCCCAGCTCACAGGGCGCGACTGGATCTGCGACGCGTGCCGCTGCTTGTTGCTTATGCCACTCGCGCCTTTCGAGGGGCGCGCAGGAAAAGAAAAAACATGCTGCGTGGCATTCTCTGCAGGCGCTCGGGCATGCTGCGTGGCCATATTGGCGCACGCGGAACCTGCCGATAGCATCATGGCATTCTTTGGGGCGGTCGGGACGGGTGGGCTGGGCTGGCGAGGGATGATCGCGACCGTGGCCGCAAAGAGGCTCGCTACAGGCCATCTGCTGGCAAATCTGTTTTGCCCTGCGCCATGGAGACATGGGGCCGCATCGACGACAGGCTCGACAATCTCCTGGGCGAGATGGCTGTTCTGGCAGCGCACAGGCAGCGGGATCGCGGCATTATCCCCGCGCGGTGGCGAGCGAAGTGGCGCACTTTGCTCAGCATCAGCGCCGCCGTGGCCATCGGGCAGGCTCTGCTGGACGCGGCGCCCGCGCAGTGCCGGCCCTGCGGCCCCGCGCGGAGCAGGGCGGCGGGCCGTGTGCCAGGCGGCGGCGGCGGGTAGCCTGCTCCCTCTTCCTCCCCCTCCTTCCTAACTTGTGCATGTGCTTTGATGGATTCATGGTGGAACTGCGAGAGACAGAGAGAGAGAGAGAAAAAGAAAGAACACCAGAGAAGCACATACGTACCAACCCAACAGAGTAAGTAAGCTGACCAAAACTGGTGCGGGCGGCTGTCGAAGCGCTGGCGCGCAGAGCGGCGTGCGCAGGCAGGCGCCCACCTCACGCACTGCGCGGCGCGCGTGCGCACGGACATGGGACATAGGCCTGGCCATGCCTGGTCGGGGCCACGCCGCCCGGCCCACTCGGGCGCGCCGGTCGGCGACCGCGGGCGCGCGCGCTGACTCTGCAGGGGCACGGGAGAGATCGCGACAAACATCGTCGTGGCGCGTGGCGCCTGCTGGGCGCCGGCGTCGGCCAGCCTCGGGCGCTGCGCGGCGCGCTGGCGGCGCGGCGGCGGGGCGCCGAGGCCGCGGCAACGATGGTGCACAATGCGCATCGGCGCGCTCAGCGCTTCGCGCACAGGCATGGGGCAGAAAGAGAGAGAGAGAGAGAGAGAGAGAGAGAGAGAGAGAGAGAGAGAGAGAGAGAGAGAGAGAGAGAGAGAGAGAGAGAGAGAGAGAGAGACAGAGAGAGAGAGAGAGAGAGAGAGAAAGAGAGAGAAAGAGAGAGAAAGAGAGAGAGAGACAGAGACAGAGAGAAAGAGAGAAAGAGAGAAAGAGAGAAAGAGAGAGAGATAATTAGAGATGGAGGGAGGAACGGGCACCCCGATCCCCCGTAGCTGGCGTTACCTGAACGCCCCTGGGCGCTGACGGAAGAGCCCTGCCCCGTTCGGTTTCTCCTTATGGGGCGCGTTCATTGAGGGGCTTCGTTTGGCGGGGCGCTCCTCGCGAGGCTGGCTTCTGCTGCTTTCTACGAGGGGCGGCGCCTGTGCCGCGGGGGGCGCGGCCTTTGCGCGCGCCCGCCCGGGCGGGCGCAGCGGCGCGCGGGTCTCGCCCGCCGCCGGCGGGGTGCGAGCCAGGGATGGTATTGGTCCGAAGGTGGTCCGAAGGGGCAACCGTAGGAGTAAGTCGGGCCTGTCCCTCTACAGGGGGAATATTCAAACATAGTTATAAAACATAGTCTGGTGATTATGTTTTCACTATTTTCGAGTTTTTTGGTTTCGAGCATTTTTTATACTTTTTTATTTTTGTTATTTTCCCCCAAATCCCCTGTAGGGGGACAGGCCCGACTTAACCATAGGAGATCAAACAATGGCGTAGGCACATCAAATCGGAGGGTCGCGCAGGTGTCCCAGATCGGTGCTGGACCACTCTATGGCGCGCCTCCAGCGCTGGAGGCGCCGCGAGGGCGCGCCATCGCCGATCCGGATAATCCGCGCGGACCTCCGAGATCAAGGGCGCCCTCGAGGGCGCGACGTTGTTATTCGCGCTTCGCTGTTCGGTTCCGATTCCTCCTCTTCTCCCCTGGGAGGCGGCGCGAGAGCGCGAAGTTATTCGCACTTCGCGCTTCGCGCAACGCGAACCGCGAAGTTGGGTGCCCTTAGAGACTATCTCGTTTCCTCCGAGTTTGTCTTGCGTTTTCCTCCGAAGAGCTTAGCAGGGTGCACGTCCACAACAGGTTAAGACTGGGCGTTGGGTGGTTTGCCCTGCTCGTCCGCCGAGAAATCGTGCCGTGTCGTTGTGCCCGCCCCAGGGTTCTGCCGGCGCCACGGACCGCGTGTCAGCACAAGGCGACGCCAATTCCAAATTCCGATGAACATAGCAACTACGTGCCATTCGTATGCAATCCGCGGGTCTCTTGGTGGTTTCTTTGGGCCGTTTGCGGGGTTTCTTTGGGGAGGTTTCGTGGGGGCCCCTGGTAGCCTCTTGGGGGTCCTCCTGGGGCTTTTTGTGGGCGTCCGCTCTTGCGCCGTCTGGCCCCTTCGGAGGTCGTCTTGGGGGCCTCGTGGGGCTGCCTTGTGGCTCTCTTGGGGCCCTCTTGGACCGTCTTTGGGGCCTCTTGAGCCTTCTTGCGGGCCATTTTTGGGCCCTCTTGGGGCCTCTGGGGCCGTTTCGGGGCCATCCTGGAGGCTGCTTACGCCGTCATGGCGAGAACGCGAACATTAATGTTTTTGGCCTCTGGAGGTGCTCTTGGGGGTCTCCTTGTAGCCCTCCGGGCCGTCTTGGGAGTCCATTGGGCCCCTTGGGGGCCATCTTGGGCCGTCTTTGGCTTTCGGGAAGCTCCATTGAGCCATATAAATCCTTAGCAACTATGTAACGGTGGATACATTAGACACGTTGCGTTAAGGAGTTCGCATGAAAACGCTGCCGCTCAGAGCGTCACGTCCAGCTGCTGATTCAATGGCTTATGCCACACCGCCGACCCCCTAAGGGTCCGCGGAGACCGGGATCATATTTGATCATCCGAAGTCCATGAATGCATTGTTTCGATGTTCCTCTTCCTCCTTTTTCTTTTCCTCCATCTCCTCCTCCTCTCCCCTCCCTCCTTCGCGCTCCGTGTCCTCCTCCCAGAGGGTCAGATGAGCAAGAAGGTATGCTGACTCGGGAGGGCCCTGCGTGCTTTCCTTTGCCCCGTTGCTTGGTCGTTGATTCCCCCCTCTGTGCCCGTGCCCTCGTCGTCTTCGCCCGCCCGTCGCAGGTGGGGCCGAGGGAGCGACAGATAACTGCAACATCGTAGCCGGACCACATCGTAGAACAACACCCTTTCTGCGGCATCGTTCGAGCCGGATCGGTCCGTGAGGGCCTCGGCGCCCGAAACACGATGACATCGCCCGTTGTGGAAGAACTGCGACGCCAGGATCTCAGGGGAGGGGGAGGGGCTGCGTCTCGGGTGCGGGGCCGGCCGCGCCGCGCCGCGCCGGTCACGCGCCCGAGGTGCTGGCCCGCTGGTCCGCGGGCTGCTACGACCTCCCCAGCGAGGACCGCGGCTGGGCTGTCGGGGGCGATGATCGGGGATCGGGGAGGAGGACCGAGGACCGAGGTTCGCAACGGCCACAAAGGTGCCACCGCATTCACATGCAAGCTGAACTCCAACGGTGTTATGGGGTCCAGGTTATATCGGGGGGTGGCGCGAATTGCCGACGGCGCTCCCGCGCCCGAGCCTCAAGACACTCAGCCTCTCCTCGAGAGCTGAGCCCAAGCAGTGCAAGGCCACGCTGAAAGTCGGCCCAGTGCTTCTCCAGCCAGTCCCACCCCCTCCCCGACGAAGAGGCCAGACAAGCTCTGGACCGCTGCGGAACGGGCGCGGGCGGGTCGACCAGGCCCATCTTGCATGAAAGCTATTCTCGAGCAGGCTCCAACAAAACGGTGGCTCGAGCCACCCCACATCCTCTCTTGGAGGGATGGCGTCCATGCAGCATCCAGACCAGTTGCCTCTCGCGCCCAGCCGAACGGTGCCCAACACAATCCTGAGAGAGAGAGAGAGAGAGAGATTTCTTGCCTCCATGCCCCATGCCCGCCTACGGCGCAAACGGAGCCACAGGTGGTGCACGAGACTGGGGCGGGCGCCCTGGGGAGCCCCAGATCATCCGACACCGACGCCTCCAAGGTGGAGTGACCGCTGGCAGGCCACACGCGGAGGTCGGGCCATTCAGTTTTGGCTTCGGAACCCAAAGCGTCCAAGATGGAGTGCCGCACGCGAGGAGGTTGGGCCCATCAGCTGTCGCCGCTACCACCACAGAAGCCTCCTCATCGCCACACTGCCGACCCGTCCCGCCACCCCCAAGAGGAGCAGGAGGAGGAAGAGGAGGATCAGGAAATGGGGGAAGATCCAAAGTGATGTGTTTCAGCCAGTCAATGCGAACATGATCAAACTGCTTGCTGTCACCTATCCACGCCTCCTGCTCCGCTGAAAACTTGCCTAGTCGGCGAGCAAGCTCGAAACAATCGTCAACCACAGCCCGATCGCCCTCTGAAATCCTCTCAAGGGCAGCTCCACGCTTCGCATACGTGTCGATTCGGGTCGACGACTTGGCACAAGCCGTCAATTTTAAACGAGAAAAGGTTGCACATGTTCGAAAACTGAGCCCGATTCGACGAAACGACAAAGGTTGCACAACTTGTCGGTCCCAATCAAGAGAGGTGCACAAGTGCTGTACATTCGAAATCAGATTGTTGGCACATCTTCGAAAGAAAAACACTAACCCAGCCCAACAAGACGAAACAAATTGCACAACTTGTCAAACTTGTACATGTCGTCAGGTCTAAGTCAAACAGATTGCACAAATTCGTAAGCCGAGCCCAACCCTTCGAAACGAAACAGGTTGCGCAACTCGTTGGTTTCCCGACGAAAAAGGGTGCACAAGTCGTCAGGTGGTTTTTTGCATTAAAAAATGAAAGCTTAATAATTGTTGACGCTTCGCGAATCCTCATCAGCTCCTTCAGGAGTCTCATTGTGTGCGATTTTGGTGGCGCCACTTCCATGCACTAGTTCAGTGGCCAGTGAGTTCTTCCTGGCCCAGCTGGTGTCAGCGTTCCTAGTGATGGTGCTCCTGGCTTCATCCTGGTATCACCCTGCGCCATTTTGGCTGCGCTCCAACTTCGGTTGGCTAATTACGCATGCGCTCGCTCCTGGGCCTGGTTCCCGGCAGCTGCAGCCCGCACCCCCTCACGGTGTCCGGTCAGCTCAGGTGCTGCTTAGGCCGCTGGTTAGTCGGCGTCAGGCAAGTAGGCTCGCGCGTATCCCGCTCGACCCTTGACGCTGCTGGCGCGCTCGCCTGCGGCTGCGACAACAAGAATTCCCGCCAGCCCATCCAGAAACGATGCCCAGAGGAATTGTCTTGACCAGGGAAGTGGGCAGCGCACAGAGGAAACCATTATGAGACATCTTGGGGTATCTTGAGCCATCTTGGAGGTCATTTTGGGCTGTCCCAGGCGCTCTTGGAGTCATCTGAATCAGTGCCCCCCAAGAGGCCAACATGTGGCTAGAACCTTCGTAACATCAATGATTTGGCATTATCGCCGAGGCCTCTTCGAGCATTTTGGGTGGCCCTGGGGGGTCTCTTGGGGCCTTTTGGGGGTCTTTGGGGGGCCTCCTGGGGACCTCTTGGGGGCCATTTTGGAACCATCTTGGGGCCATTTTGAGACCTTTTGGGGCCACCTGGGCGCTTCTTCGGGCCATTTTGGAGGACATCGATCAAACAAGAGGGGAGAACGAATTAACGCCCCCCCCCTGGGAGGCCAAAATCAGGCCAAAACCCAAGTTAAACTTATGATTGTGGCTAGCTCGCCGATGCTGTTTGGGACGCCCCGACGACTCGCGAAACCCCCCGTCCAGGTCCATGGGGAGGGGGTTGGGGGAGGGATAACCCCCTGCCGGAAGGGGAAGAAGAAGGGGTGGAAGAGAAAATTCCCCAAACCACCGACGCCCAGAGGGCTGGTGGGATTCATTGTTTTGCCGATCGGCGCGGGCCCTCGCACCCGTCCCCCTCCCCCCCCCACGTGGAGTAGATTTTGATTATGGCTCTTTGTCAGCGCCTGTTTCGAGCAGGCGGAGTCTCCCCCATAGGACTCACTGTTGCAAACAGTCGCATTAAGCAGAGGTCCTGAGCCAGACCGCCCCCCTTCCCCTCCCCTTCCGCCCAATGCCGAAACGCCGATAGAGAAAGCGTTCGCCAGTTCTCATTCAGAAAGGCTGCGCAAGCTCGGAAAACGAACCCAGCCAGACAAACCGAGGAAGATTGCACAACCCGTCGGTTCCCCATCACAAAAGATGCAACAGTCGGCAATTTTCAAGTGCAGAGATGCTGGGAAAGCAAAACAGGGCGCACATCTCGTCGGTTCCCAATCAAAGAAGCTGCACAAGGCGTTTGCATTCTGTCCAACAGGTGCACAAGCTAGGACATCGAACCGGGCCCTGCAACATGAAGATCAGGTTGCATATCTTGTCGTTTCCAAATCAAAATTTCTGCACAACTCGTCAATTCTCAATCGGGGAAGATTGCACGCACACTCGAACACCGAACCCGATCCGACAAAACGAGAAAGGCTGCACAACTCGTCGGTTCCCATCAAAATCGCTCACGTCGTCAGATCTCATTCAGATCGGTTGCACACGTTCGAGAATCGAGCTTGGCCCGACAAGACGAAACAGTTTGCACAATTCGTTGGTTCCCCACACGAGAAGATGCACACGTTGTCAATTCTCAATCAAGTTGCACAGGTTCAAATACCTAGCCCGATACGACACAACGAGGAACGCCGCACAAGTTGTCTATTCTCAGTTAGAAAGGTTGACAGCTTCGAAAGCCGAGCCCGACCTGACAATATGAAAAAGGTTGCACAATTCGTCGGGCCCCAATCAAGAGAAACTGCACACGCCGTCATTTCTTGATCAACAGGTTGCACACACTCGAACACCTAGCCCCTAGCCGGTTTCGACATAACGTAAAAATGCTACACAAGTCGTCGGTTCCCCATCAAAGAAGTTGCACATGTTGTCAGTTCTCAAGTGGGAAGGATGCACATCTTCGGAAATTGAGCCCGACTGGAGAAAAAGACAGGAGGGATTGCACATTTCGTAGGTCCCTAATCCAAGGAATTTGCACACGTCGTCAGCACTCAATCAGAAAGGTTACGTAAGTTCGAACACCGAGCCTGAACCGACGAGACGAAAGAAGGTTGCGCAAATCGTCGCTTCACAATCAATAGTCAAATCTGAGTCGAAGAGTTTGCACACTTTGAAGCTGAGCCCGGCCCGACAATACGATAAAGGTTGCGCAATTTGTCAGGTGGCTGAGCGTTGTTAATTCAAGAGTTGCACAAGTTGTACGAACAAGCCCGTCCGGACAAAGCGAAACAAGTTGGACAATTTGTCGGTTCCCACTCAAACATTGTAGACGCTTCGCGTATCCCCACCAGGGTTACGCTTATACGGTACGCTTACGCTGTGTGGTTCGCAGTATAGTGGTTGACGACGGTTGCGCTGTTCTCCCGCAGTGGCTTACGCTTTGACGGAGACGTGGCGTGTCTCTGTGAGGAGGTCGAGGTCACCGGTGTGCTCGGGCTTGTTTTTTTCTGCTTCTGAGCCGAGCTGTGGTTAGTCGCCTGGCCATTTTCGCTGTCCGCTCGCCAATCGCACTCGGACTTTAGTTGCCTTTTTTTCCGCGCTCGCTTGCTGTAGTATCGGCATCCGTCTTGCTCACTGTAGGCTACTTGCGCGCGACTCCACGACGCCGCGTGGCTGTCCGCTTGCGGTTGCGAACAAACAAATCCCCACCAGATTGTGCGCGCTTGGGGCCTAATTTAGATCGTGGCTCTGTAGCTCTGCTCTTTGACGGCGCGCGGCTGCTCCGTATCGCTCGAGAACAGAACTATCCCCACCAGCCCATTCAGAAACGATCTCCAGGCGAGTTGAGGTGATGAGGGAAGTGCGGGAGGAAAGAGGGGGGCGGCCGAACCGTGCGAAGCAGGGGGGTGAGAAAGAGGAGGCTGGATGGATGGATGAGGGAGTGAGGAGAAGGAGGATGAATAGGATGAGGAGGACGAGGAGGAGCACGAGGAGGAGGAGGAGGAGGAATAATCAGAAAACGAATAGGAGGAGGAATGGGGGAGCAGGAAGAGAAGGTCAAGCAAAAGAGCCAGAGGTCTTTTGGATGCCTTTCGGAACCTCTTGGGGTATTGGGCGCTTCCTGGTGGCCTCTTCGGACGTTTTGGGGGTCTCTTGGCCGTGGTGTCTGGGGGGTTTGGGACGTCTTGGGTGCCTCGTGGGGGGGCCTCCTGGGGCCGCTTGGAGTCCTCCTGGGGGGCCTCCTGGGGCCCTTGGGGGCCTCTTGGGGCCATTTTGGAACCGCTTTGGGCCTCGTGGGCGTTTTTTGGGGCCATCTTCGAGGAAATCTATGAACACAAGGGGGCAATTAGCCTCGCCCCCCCAAGGGGCCAAACTGGTGCCAACACGCTAGGACAACCAATGATTTCGGCTTTTTCGCCGAGGCTGTTTTGGATGCCCTGACCGCTCGTGGAACCCCCGTCCAGGTCCAGTGGAGGGGGTAGGGGGAGGGGTCAAGACACCCTCTCCGCACGCACGCCGTCTAGCTCACTGCCACCCGCCCTCCCGCCAAATAGATGGCATCCGGGTCTCGGCATAGCCAGTGGTCGCCAGTGGATGGACAGCCATTGGGAACCAAAGCGGACGCCAGGTGCGCGACGCTCGCCACGGGCTCCACATGCGGTTGGTGTGCCATCCTAGTAAAAAGCGTGATGCCCCCTATCCGCATTGTCCAGATGCTGATGTGGGGGGCGTCAGCATTGTTCCGGGCCTGCGCGCAGCAAGCATCAGCATGCGGGCACCACCGCCGTCCCTGTCAAAAACAATGCAAAGTGATCGCGGGTAGCCAGCGCAATACCCACGACGTTGTCGCAACGTGCTCTTAGCATTCTTTTTGACACGGATGGCGGTCCTGCACAATGCGGCTTCAGTAAGGGTGCCCCGCCATTTTTGTCAAAACAACAATACAACGTGCTCGCTGGGCGCCAGCGCTCTGTCCAGAGTTTGCTGCACTGTGCATTTCGTATTGCTTTTGTTGATAGGGGTTGTGGAGGGTGTTGGCAGGGTGGGCCCCGCAACGTGCATTTTGTATTTTTTTCAGGGATGGTGGGGGGGCGGGTCATGGTGTGCGCATGGTTCCGGGTTGGCTGCCGGCCGGGTGGGGGAGGGGGTGTCTATTAATAGGGAGCAGTGATCAAGACACTTTCTCCACACGCAAGCCGTCTAGCTCATTCCCACTCGACCTCCCGCCACATAAGTGGCATCCGAGTCTCGGCATAACCAGGGGTCGCCAGTGGATGGACAGCCATTGGGAACCAAAGCGGACGCCAGGTGCGCGACGCTCGCCACGGGCTCCACATGCGGTTGGTGTGCCATCCTAGTAAAAAACGTGATGCCCCCCGTCCGCATTGTCCAGATGCTGATGTGGGGGGCGTCAGCATTGTTCCGGGCCTGCGCGCAGCAAGCATCAGCATGCGGGCACCACCGCCGTCCCTGTCAAAAACAATGCAAAGTGATCGCGGGTAGCCAGCGCAATACCCACGACGTTGTCGCAACGTGCTCTTAGCATTCTTTTTGACACGGATGGCGGTCCTGCACAATGCGGCTTCAGTAAGGGTGCCCCGCCATCTTTGTCAAAACAACAATACAACGTGCTCGCTGGGCGCCAGCGCTCTGTCCAGAGTTTGCTGCACTGTGCATTTCGTATTGCTTTTGTTGATAGGGGTTGTGGAGGGTGTTGGCAGGGTGGGCCCCGCAATGTGCATTTTGTATTTTTTCAGGGATGGTGGGGGGGCGGGTCATGGTGTGCGCATGGTTCCGGGTTGGCTGCCGGCCGGGTGGGGGAGGGGGTGTCTATTAATAGGGAACAGTGATCAAGACACTTTCTCCACACGCAAGCCGTCTAGCTCACTGCCACCCGACCTCCCGCCACATAAGTGGCATCCGGGTCTCGGCATAGCCAGTGGTCGCCAGTGGATGGACAGCCACTGGGAACCAAAGCGGACGCCAGGTGCGAGACGCTCGCCACGGGCTCCACATGCGTTTGGTGTGCCATCCTTGTAAAAAAAACGTGATCCCCCCCGGTCCGCATTGTCCAGATGCTGATGTGGGGGGCGTCAGCATTGTTCTGGGCCTGCGCGCAGCAAGCATCAGCATGCGGGCACCACCGCCGTCCCTGTCAAAAACAATGCAAAGTCATCGCGGTTGGCCAGCGCAATACCCACGACGTTGTCGCAACGTGCTCTTAGCATTGTTTTTGACACGGATGGCGGTCCTGCAAAGCGGCTTCACTAAGGGTGCCCCGCCATCCCTGTCAAATGCAACGTGCTCACAGGGCGCCAGCGCACTGTCCAGAGTTTGCTGCAATGTGTACTTCGTAGTGTTTTTTTTTTCATCGGGGTTGTGGAGGGTGTTGGCAGGGCGGGCCCCGCAATGTGCATTTTGTATTGTTTTTTGTCCGCGATGGTTGGGGGGGTGCCCGCATGGTTCCGGGTTGGCTACCGGCCGGGTGGGGGAGGGGGTCTCCATCAATAGGAAGCAGTGATGCACCCCTGCCCGAAGGGGAAGAAGGTGGTTGGAAAAGGAGCCACCCTAGACCACCTACGCCCAGAGGGCTGGTGGGATTTGCACAAGTCGTCCGCTCTCAATCGAAAGCGTTGCGCAAGTTCGAAAACCGAAGCCCGATCCGACAAAACCAAACAGCTGCACAAGTTTTCCAAGTCTCAATCAATGTGTGCACAAGTTCGAACACCGAGCCAAGCCCGACAAAACAAACAAAGTTGCACACCTCGTCGTTTGCCAATCAAAACAGTTGCACGAGCCGTCAGTTCTCAATCGAAAAGATTGCACAAGTTCGGAAACCAAACGCTTGGTTGCACACGCCCATGAAGTTAGAGAATTGCCAAAGTTTTTGAACTTACGAACTTAAAATTTAGCCGAGTGGGGCTTGAACATCCCGCATAGTTCCAACTCCGCCCAGATGGAAGGCTTTTCTCCCGCCAGAATCCGCTGATGGCTTGTCCTCAGACAGCCTGCGTGACAGTTCTCCGAGCCGCGTCCAGCCGTACAGGACTTCAACCTATTGTTGTTCTTGAGTTCTGTTCTAGTCGGGGCGTCTTCGATCCAAAATGGTGTTCCCGCTGCGATGCGCGTCTCATTTTAGACCGGCGCTTTGCTCCCGTTGTTCAGACAGCGCGGACCAAAATCCGGGATCCGAATTATTTAATCGCTTCGCTCATTCCGCCGGCCCTGGAGCTCTCTTTTGGCGACCTCTTGGGAGTCTCTTGGGGCTCCTTGGCGGCGTCTTGGGGGACCCCAGGGCCTCTTGGGGGGCTCTTGGGGGCCTCTTGGGGCGGGAGGGGGGGTAGTTGATTGCGGCTCCCCCCTCGGAGGCCACGATCCTCGTGAGGGGTGTCGAAAAATTGCCCGGTCCGGCATCTCTGACCCGAATCTGCCGGGCCCCTGCTGGGGTATTTTTCGCCCGGAGACCCCCAGGGGCGGCCCCGCGCGCGCGAACTAGAATATTGTTAACCAGTTACCGTAGATTTTAGCACGCCTCTGGCCCTTTGGGCCGGCGAATTCATCGTTATCTCCCCGCTCATTTCTCTTCTCCGCCTTCCCCTGGTTCTCCTGGTCCTCCCGCTCCTCCCGCTCCTTCTTGTTCCTGCTGTACCTTTCTCGCCCTCCTCGTTACTCATGCTCCTCTTCGTCCTCTTCCTGCTCATTCTCCAGTTCATCTGTCACGTCCTCTTCCAGTGTACACAGCCCTCCTTGTCTGTCTTATTTGAGGATCCCAGATCCACTGTGACACCCGTCGGTGGATAGAGAACAAAATCAGCGCAGTAGGAAAGGCATGGGTGGGTGGGTTAGGATGTCAATTATAGCGCGACCGCACATAGATTGCACCTCCCCTCTCTCCTCTCCCCTCCCCCGCCATCCACAATCAAGCAATATGAGTAGTACTCTCCCCCCTCCCCTGAAAATGGTGTTCCCGCTTCTGCGTGGGCCTCATTTTCGGATCGGCGTTTTGCTTTTCTCGTTCAGAAAGGCGCACTCGCCCCAGCGTGGGTCATCTTTCTGGATCCGAGTCTCTCTTCATTGTGGTTCCCACTCTTTTCCCCTCCTCCCTCACCTGGTCATCCTTTTGTTCCAAGGTCTTCACTCCAGTTCCTGCTCCTGCTGTTCTTCTCGCCCCAACGCAATCCAGTTTTCTGAATCCGAGTCTTTCTTCATCTTTGTCGCCCCCTCATTTCCCCTCCTCCACCTTCCCCTGGACTTCCTTTTCCTCCCGATTCAATCGGCCCGATTCTTCCGCTTCAGCCCCTGCTGATATTATACGCCCTCATCCTTTCCCTCCCGATCATCCTCCTGCTCACCCGCCGCCTCCTCCTGTGCACGCAGTTCCCCTTTCCGATTGCGCAGTGCATGAAGTGGTCCTTCTGTGGGAGTCGCAGGTCGGCTATGACACGTGCCCGCGGTTAATGACATATCAGCGCCACGGGAAGGGATGGGAGGGGGGGATGGGATGTCAGATGAGGCGCGAGCGCACCTAGCTTGACCTCCCCCCTCGGCCTTTGCCCGCTGACCCCAGCGCGGGAAAGGTCGACGCAGGCGGGGCCACGGCGCCGAGTGCCCCGCGCGACCTCCCGCCGCAGAGCGAGCACGGCCGAGCCGAGCCGAGCCTGCAGGCTTGCGGTGCCCTGCCGCCCTGGCCGGCGCGAGGTGGCCGAGAGTGCTCGCCCTGGCGGCTCGGTCGATCGATCGGTCGATCCGGCCGCCAGCCTCCTCGCCCCTCCGCGCACGCAGCCTCCTCCTCCCTCTCCTCCCCCTTCTCCAACCCCTCCCCCTCCTCCTCCTCCTCCTCCTCCTCCTCCTCGTCCTCCTCCTCCTCCTCCTCCTCCTCGTCCTCCTCCTCCTCCTCCCCCTTCTCCTCCTCCTCCTCCTCCTCCTCCTCCTACTCCTCCTCCTCCTCCTCCTCCTCATCATCATCATCATCATCAAGGAACTCGTCATCCTCGTCGTCCTCGTCGTCCTGGCCTCGGGCCAGCGAGGGCCGCCGAGCCGGGAGAGGGCCCCCCCCTCCCCGCCAGGACGGGGCCGAGGGTGCCGGCGCCGCGGCTGCGAAGCAGCCGGCCCGGGGAGGAGCGGCATCGCCACCGGCGCGATGGGCATCGGCGCCGTCGTGGGCCTTGCCGCCGGCACCGTCGCCATCGTCGCCGTCGTCGCTGGTACCATTCTCGCTTCCACCTCTGTGGATGTCGTGGCGAGACCGCGTCCGCCCGAGTCGCCGGTCAGCACTGAAGTGCCCGACGAGAAATGCCAGCGGTCAGCGCCACCGCGGCCGCGTCGGCCGCGCCCAACTAGCTGGCCGTTGCGGCGCGAGCATGCGCGGGCTAGCGCGGCCGCAGAGACGCACCAGCCAGTCATCGCAGTTGAAGGTGGGCGGGTGGGATGACGCGCGCGGGCAGTGGAGATGATGCTCAATTTCAAGCTTTGTTTCTTTAGAGTTTCTTGCGCCACATAGATTCTCCACCCTAGAAAAGGAAGTTTGGATCCACGCCCCCCTCCCCCACCTTGCCCCTCCCCCAGGTCGGGAAGGTCGAGCCGCCCGCCCCTGGGGATGCGCAATTTCTGCATGTGTTGCCCATCGCTGATTTGAATTCGAGGTCATGCCGCCCCAGCAATGCCGGGGTTGATCCCCCTACCATTGTTCGCTAAAAGAAGCGCACTTGTCCGCCCGCTTATCAAAAACACGAGTGTCGAACATCCCTGGCAAAACGTTGGGCGAAGTGCAACAACCGCCCACGTCTTGCAAGGAGTGCGAAGTCGAGGGCGCCGAAACACACGCAACGCACATGTCTAGACAACCAGGATTTTTCCAACGAAGATCCGCGCGCACTGTTTGGACCTCTCTAGAATGGCTTCAATTCGTTCGACCAAGCGGGCCTCTCGCGTGCATGTCGCAATCGTTCGAACGCCCTTGCGCGCGAGCTGGGCTGGGCATGATCCCCATCAAATAATGTCATGGCGAACTCCGTTGAATACCTCCATCGCCGGCGCGAGGACACCATCGTCGTCACCGGCGCGATCAACACCGGTGCCGCCATTGGCCTTGCCGTCAGCATAATTGTCACCAGCATGGCTCACAAACATCACCGCGTTCACAGCCGTCGGTGTTGCCATGATACCTGCGCCGGCCCGAGACGCCGACATGCGCTGAAGTGCCCGCGCGTCAGCACGGCCTGCGTGGCGCGCTGAAAAGTGCCCCCGCGGCCAGCGCCGCCGCGGCCGCGTCGGTCGCGCGAAACTAGCAAACCGCTCTGCCTGCGAGCGTGCGCGCGCTTGCGCGGCCGCGGCCGATCGCCAGCCAGCGCCAAGCAGTCGTCGCAATCGCCGCCGCATGTGCTTTGCAAACGAAGTGCCGGACGGGCGTGGGACGAATTTCGTCCGGGTGAATTGCGCCGCTTCGATTGCACCACGCATGCACTTTCCTTTCTGTGAAAGAGGAATGTAAATCTTCCCTAGATGATCCGCGTCTTTTTTTTCGTGTCATTTTAAATGTTTACATGTGGTCATGCCCCATCGCTCATTCCAGATATGATCTTTCAGTATCCCAACCAGCCAGGCCAGGCTCGACCCCCCCCCCCCAGCCCCGCGCTGTATCCTTAGTAAGTACTAGTACGCGTGCTTGTTTATCGCAAATTACATCAGTTTTCGGAGATATGTTGCAGAAGCGGGACCAAATGTACGCGCGAGCGCGTCGTAGCGCGATCCTGCTGAGATTCACCAACAACCGATTCGGTTTCGCAAGGGAGCAAAACAATGTAACACCGAGTGCCCCGAACACGGATAACAATGATACGTGGCTTGGCAGCGGGACTTTTCAACAAAAAGGTCTGCGCGCTTGCGCCTTCCCAAGAGAAGTTTGTTTTGCTGCTTCAATTTGTTGATGACCACTCGGGCCTCGCGCGCTCACGTCGCATTCATGTGTACGCCTTTGCGCGCGTGTTTTTTTTTGTTGGGGGGGGCGATCTCGGCCGCGCGCGCATGTCGAAATCCGACCAGCAATTCCACCGCCGACGCGAGGACGTCATCAGCGTGATCAGCATCTGTGCCGTCATTGGTTTTGCCGTCGTCATCGTCATCATCGTCACCATCATCGCTTTTTAACGTCATCGCGTCTACCGTTGTGGATGTTGCCATGCTACCGCGCCCGCCCGATACATCGACGCGCCCTGAAGTGCCCGCGCGGCCTGCGTGGCCCGCTGGGGGTTCCCGGTGGCCGCGTCGGTCGCGCCAAACGGTGCGCGCGAGCATCCGCGGGTTAGCGCGGCCGCAGAGAAGCACCAGCCAGCGCCAAGTACTCACGGGGATCGCCACCGCATGGGTTTTGAAAACCAGGTTACGGATGAGTGGGTGGGCTGGTTGCGCGAGCAGTGGAGTATACATGTGTCAATTGTTTTCAAACTTCCTTGCGCCACATGGATTACATATCGTTTTTTTGCGCCACGTCGGTTTCACGACGTACATCGCACAAGCTATATCGCAACACGAAGGATGCAAATGCTGCAAACACCACAAGATTGCTCCACACAGATTGCCCCACAAATCTTGCACCACACTGAATCGCGCTGTTTGGGGGCCACGTCCCCCAACCGTTCAAAACAAAAAGGGTGGATGGAGAGGACGAGCGAAAAGGGGACGATGAGGATGGGCTGGCGAAGCGGGAGGAGGAGGGCGACGAGGAAGATAAAGAGGAGGAGGAAGATGAGGATGAGGAATTCGGTGCAGGCAAGAACCCAGGTCCTTCCCGGAACGCCCGCAAACCCAGACGCGTCCAGACGGGCCTTCAAGGTCAAGAACTGGGCAGGGTGAGGAGGAGGAGGAGGAGGAGGAGGGGGGCGACGACGAAGACCAAGACCACGACAGCGGTAGCGACGACGACGACAACGCCGACGACGACGACGACGAGAACGACGACGACGACGACGGCGACGAGGACGGCGGCGACGACGACTGGGAAGGCGTCGGCGTCGACGACGACGGCCATAACGGCGGCGGCGACGAGTGGGGCGGAGGCTGCCGGGGGTGGGCAGGGAAGGACCTGCCAGCGCGCCGCGGGACCCGAACGAGGCGGCGGTGGTCGAGCAGATGCGCAAGAATGGGTGGTCCCGCAAGGAGGCCGTCAAGTTCATCGACGAGGGCGGGCTCGAGATGGAGGAGATGCGCAAGGACCCCGTGGGCACGCGCACATGCGCGCCACCGTCCCCTCCGCCGCCCTGGTCTGTCCCCTCCCTCCCCCCCTCCCTCCTCCCCCCTCCGCCCTCTTCTCTGTCACGTTTTCCTGTGGGGTAGGGGAGGGGGGGCGCCCCGAGATGGAGCAGGTGAGCGGGGTGGGTGGGTGGGCTCGAGGGCTCAGGCAGTCGACGAGGAGCCCCCTCCCCCCGTCCTCCGCCCAGGGGCTGCAGCCACTGGGGGGACCCCTCTCCTCTTTCCCTCCTCTTCTTCTTCATTCCTCATTCCTCCTCCTCCTCCTCCTCCTCCTCTTTCTCCTCCTTTTCCTTGTCCTCCTCCTCCTCCTCCTTTTCCTCGTCCTCCTCATCCTCCTCCTTTTCCTTGTCCCCCTCCTCCTTGTTTGTCGTTCCTCCTCCTCCTCCTCCTCGTCCTCCTCCTCCTCCTCCTCCGCCTCCGCCTTCCCCCCTTCCTCCTGCTCCTTCCCTCCCTCCTCCTCATCATCATCATCCTTCTCGTCCTCCCCTTGTCCTTCTCCTCCTCGCCCCCTTCCCCTGCTTACTCGGAGGGCCGTCTCGTCTCGTCCTATTTTTGGGGGTTTCTCTCGTGCCGCCAAGACGCGGACGGTTTCCGACTCGGAGGGGGACAGAGACGACCGCGACGCCGTCGACGAGGGGGGGAGGCGAGGGATGAGGGTTGGGAGGAGGACAGGGTGGAAGGGCTCTTCTCGTTCCCCTTCCTCACCCCTCGTCACTCTGGTGGGAAGACTACCGGCCAAACTTAGTAATTCTCGACGGTTCCCGTATCTCCACCCGGCGACCGTGTCGATTCGCCTACGGTCCAAGGCGGCGTCGCCCACGGCCACCTCTTGCTACCTCGGTCCCTCGTTGAGGCGTGGATCTCCAAGGTCGGGCAGCCCTCAGTCGTCGGTGATAGCACGAGAGTGCGCGTGGCACCCCCTGGTCTGGTAGCTCAGGCGCCGACGGTGTCGAGTTCCTCCATCGTTCCACCTGGCTGCTTCGCCCGTGTCCGGCGTCTTCCGTGGCCGGACGCTCGCAGGACCAGTGCTCCTCTCCTGGTTTTGTGTGCGATTTTGGTGGCGCCACCCAGTGCACCAGTTTGGGCCCTGTCGGGCACCCCTGGCCGTCTCCCCCGTGTGACGGCGGGCTCCTCCCTGGTTACACCTGGAAGAGCGCCGCGCCATTTTGGCTGCGTCCCAGCCGCGGTTGGTCAATTCGCTGCAATTAAATTCACACCTGGTGGCCCTGCTCTCAGGTTGTCGCACGCTTGCAGCCCCCGGGCAGCACCGGCAGCTCGCAGCACCCCCCCGGCTCCTCTTGCTGCTCCGGCCCTGAGGCTTCAGCGGTAGGTCCTGCTCGGCTCCGCGCCAGGTAATTAGGCCCCCGCGCGGCCCGCTCGGACCCTCACTCGCCGTTGGCGCGCTCGCCGTCGGCTGTTAGCAAAAAATATGTCCACCATCAGGTTCAGTACTCCCTTTAGGAGACTTGGTGTGCTACTTTGGTAGCGCCACCCTACGCACCAGTTTTGGGCCAGTATGAGCACCCATGGCAGTCGACGCGATGTACTGGCTGGTTGCCTCCCTGGTCACATCCTGGTACGACCCTCGCGCCATTTTGGCTGCGCCCCAACCCTGGTTGGTTAATCTTGCATGTGCGCGCTCCTGGACATTGTCCCTGGCAGCTGCAGCTTGCACCCCCCCTTCACGCCGGCCCGCCCGCCGAGGCGCTGCTGATGTCGCCGGCCCGTCGGCGTTAGGCAATTCGGATCTTGCGCAGCCCGCTCGGACCTGACTCGCCGCTGGCGCCCTCGCCTGCGGTTGCGACGAAAAAATAAACGTATCTCCGCCATCCCATCAACAAATAATCACCAGGCGAGTTGCCATGATGAGGGGTTGCAGCAACATGAATTCACGCTCTGAGAGCCTCTTGGAGACATACTGGGCCATCGTGGGCCCCTGTTGGGGCCCTGGGGCTTTCTTGGGGGGCCCCATTGGGCTTCCTTGGGGCGCTTTGGGGGCCCCTTTGGGGTCTTGGCCATTTTGGAGACCATCTATCAAAGACATGTTTGTAACCAATTATGTCCCTCCCCACCCGAGGCCAACACATTGATTGCTGGGGCCTTCTTAGAACGTTGTTGGGGTTATCTTGGGCCCCTCTTGGGCTCCTCTAGGGGCTAGGTTGGGCTATGTTGGAAATCTCTTGAGGCCTCGGAAGGCCACTTGAAGCGAAAATGCGAGGATGCCACATGGTGGCCACTTGCACCCGGCCTGGGGCGGTCATGGCGTTTCTTGGAGGCAGTTTGTGCGATAGTTGAACCCCTCTTGTTCTGTCTGGAGCCATCTTGGACCATCTCGGGCGCTCTGACGACTCGCGACCGACCCCTTCCAGACTCAGGGTAAGTGGGTTGCGGGAGAGGTAAACATGTCCCCGAAGGGACAGAGGAGTTTGGAACAAATGAACTCGTTGAACCACCTACGCCCACTGAGCTGGTGGGGCTCTGCTCCTCGTCCTCCCCCTCCCACCATCCTCCATACTTCTTCCCCCATCGAGGCCATTTCTCCCGCCGCGGTTCCTCTTGAGATTCCTCGTCTTGCCCCACGCTTGTCTCTTTCGCCCCCTGCCCCTTCCGTCGGTCTCCCTCCCCTGTGCTGTCCCTCCGGGCCGACCCTGGGGGGGGGGAGGAAATGGACCACCCGATGGACGCCATCTTCGAGGAGGCGAAGAAGAACGGCCCGCCGAAGTGGTTCAGGGACATGATGGAGGAAAAGGAGCAGAAGGAATGCAGCCTCGCAGGGGTCAGGCAAGGTGCGAGAACAGTCGATGCCGCTCAGGGGGAGAGAAGGGAAGGGGGTTAAGCAGGGAGGTGGGAGCGGCCAGCCGAGAGAAAGGGGGAGGAGGTAGCGAAGGCGGAGGAGGAGGAGGAGGGGGCGCGATGGAAGAGGAGGAAGGAGGAGGAGGAGGAGGAGGAGGAGGAGGAGGAGGAGGAGGAGGAGGAGAAGAATTATCCCAGTGCGACCCTACCTAGGAGTTGGAGCATTCAGGAAAGCAACAGCTAAGCTAAGCTAAGCTAAGCTAAGATGGGGTAAGCTAAGCTAAGCTAAGCTAAGCTAAGCTAAGCTAAGCTAAGCGAAGCGAAGCGAAGCTAAGCTAAGCTAAGCGAAGCGAAGCGAAGCTAAGCTAAGCTAAGCTAAGCTAAGCTAGGCAAAGCTAAGCTAAGCTAAGCTAAGCTAAGCTAAGCTAAGCTAAGCTAAGCTAAGCTAAGCTAAGCTAAGCTAAGCTAAGCTAAGCTAAGCTAAGCTAAGCTAAGCTAAGCTAAGCTAAGCTAAGCTAAGCTAAGCTAAGCTAAGCTAAGCTAAGCTAAGCTAAGCTAAGCTAGGGTAAGTTAAGCTAAGCTAAGCTAAGGCTAGGCTAAGCTAAGCTAAGCTAAGCTAAGCTAGCTGAGCTAAGCTAAGCTAAGCTAGCTAGGCTAGGCTAGGCAAGCTAAGCTAAGCTAAGCTAAGCTAAGCTAAAGCTAAGCTAAGCTAAGCTAAGCTAAGCTAAGCTAAGCTAAGCTAAGCTAAGCTAAGCTAAGCTAAGCTAAGCTAAGCTAAAGCTAAGCGAAGCTAAGCTCAGGGTAAGTTAAGCTAAGCTAAGCTGGGCTAGGCAAAGCTAAGCTAAGCTAAGCTGAGCTGAGCTAAGCTAAGCTAAGCTAGGCTAGGCTAGGCAAAGCTAAGCTAAGCTAAGCTAAGCTAAGCTAAGCTAAGCTAAGCTAAGCTAAGCTAAGCTAAGCTAAGCTAAGCTAAGCTAAGCTAAGCTAAGCTAAGCTAAGCTAAAGCTAAGCGAAGCTAAGCTCAGGGTAAGTTAAGCTAAGCTAAGCTGGGCTAGGCAAAGCTAAGCTAAGCTAAGCTGAGCTGAGCTAAGCTAAGCTAAGCTAGGCTAGGCTAGGCAAAGCTAAGCTAAGCTAAGCTAAGCTAAGCTAAGCTAAGCTAAGCTAAGCTAAGCTAAGCTAAGCTAAGCTAAGCTAAGCTAAGCTAAGCTAAGCTAAGCTAAGCTAAGCTAAGCTAAGCTAAGCTAAGCTAAAGCTAAGCGAAGCTAAGCTCAGGGTAAGTTAAGCTAAGCTAAGCTCGGGGAACCAGGGGGGCGCACCCGGGGGAACCAGGGGGGCGCAACTGGGGGAACCGCCCGGGGTGGGTTTCATTGCCCGCCCCCTTTAGCAAAGAAAGTAAGAACCCTTCTAGGCAGAGCCTAGGTAGGGAAAAAGGAATGAGTAGGATGAGGAGAACTGAGGAAGGGGACGAGGAGGAGGAGGAGGAGGAAGTGGAGGAGGGCGACGGAGGACGAGGAGGACCGATGGTCATGATGATATTGATGAGAAGAGTGATGCTGATCATGGCGATGATGATCCTGATGATGATGCTGATGCTGATGCTTGTGATTATGATGCCGATGATGCTGCTAATGCTGATGCTGCTGATGATGGTGCTGATGATGGTGCTGAAGAGGATGATGATGCCGGTGGTGATGATGATATTGAGGATGTTGCTGTTGATGTTGATGCTGATGCTAATGAGATGTTGATGCTGATGCTGATCATGGAGATGTTGATGATGTTGTTGACGATGCTGATGATGATGATGATGATGATGATGATGATGGTGGTGGTGATGCTGATGATGGTGGTGATGCTGATGCTGCGACTGATGATGATGGGGTGCTGCTGAAGCTCAGGCTCAGGCTGAGGCTGATTGTGATGATGATGATGCTGATGATGATGATGCTGATGATGCTGATGATGGTGAGGCTGATGCTGATGCTGATCATGGTGGTGTTGACGATGCTGATGATGATGTTGATGATGATGGTAACGATGGTGATGCTAATGATGCTGCTGCTGATGATGAAGGTGATGCTGATACTACTGATGCTGATGCTGATGTTGATGGTGATGCTGTTGCTGCTGATGATAGTGACGATGATGCTGACGATGGTGATGGTGATGTTGATGTTGATGATGTTGATGATGATGATGCTGATGCTGATGATGCTGATGCTGATGCTGATGATGATGATGATGATGATGATGATGATGATGATGATGATGATGATAGTGATGATAGTGATGGTGGTGGTGATGATGATGCTGATGCTGATGCTGATGCTAATGCTAGTGCTGATTATGATGCTGATGATGATTATTCGGATGATGCTGAGGCAGGAGGAGGATGGATGAAGGGGGAAGAGGGGCAGGAGGGAGGAGAAGGGAAGAGGATGATGATGAGGAGGAGGAGAAGCAGGAGCAGGAGGAGGATGAGACGGCTGAGGCGGAGAAAGAGGAGGAGAAGGAAGAGGAGGAGGAGGAGGAGGAGACGGATGAGGAGGAGGAGGAGGAGCAGGAGGAGGAGCAGGAGTAGGAGAGCCGTCTCTTCTCAATCATCTGCTTTAGGGACGGGTTTCTGCTCGCACCTGCGGGAAAGTTTCGTTTCATCCCTACGCGCCATGGTTGTCGCTGCTCGACTCCATGGGTTTTGAGGCAGTTTGCTTCCAGCAGGAACGTTCATTTTTTCCTCGGCCGCGCCTTGGCTATTTTAGCAAGGCCAAGGTCTTCGTTACCCCTGCTGGTACCTCCACGGCGTGTGCTGTGCAGGCTGCCGTCAGAAGGACGTTCTTGAAGGTTAACCTCGAGGATTTCCCGACCTCTACAGCTGTTGATCGGGGGGCATCTCCACAGCGACGGCACGTCTGTTGTTCAGATTTGGCTGGCACCGATTTGCGCTGTTGCCCCATGTACGGCTGACAGTGTCGTCATTCCGGGTCCTCCTCGAGGCACCTGCGCGGGAGGCGATCCTGGCGACGGTGGCGCTCAGGACAAAGAGAGGGCGGAGGAGAGGCATTGGTGGAAGAGCATGGGGCGGAGGCCCACACCATGCCTTGCCGAAGCTCCCTCATCGACACCCCCGGCTGCAGGGTCTGATGCGGTGATTCCGGAGCCGCGGTTTCGATTCAGGAGTCCAGCGTTCTCCGCCCACATGTTCCTGTGCTTGGCCCTAAGCCAGAGCGCAATCAGGTGCATAACGCTCTCATTTGCGAGTGTTGTTGCAACTCTTGAACCAAGCGGGCGTGTGTAACGAAGGCTGAGCAGCAACAGCGCGAGACCACCATGCCCTTCCTGCAGCTTTTCAGGCGCGCCGGCGTTGAAGGACCATGCAGCGCTTGTTCGTCTTTGGTCGTGAAATTCACGATCTTGAGTTTCTTTCTGTGCACCGTCATGCTGGCACCTGGGACATCGCGGCCACCTGGGGAGATCCAGGCCAGCCGAGAACATGTGCGTTGAGGGAATCGGAACAGGTAGTAAGGCTGCATGTGAGTTGTAAGCTTCTGTAATTTGTTGTGCGCTGTGCAGCGTGGCCGGAGGAATACGGGTGCCCTGCGGATGGAATTGGTTGCCGGTCGCGGCTCGTTTTTCTGGGCGCCTGGCCTGGGGTTGGCCCTTGTGTGCTTGTGTTGTTTCGGGCGCCCTCTGCCCAAGCTTCCCCCCTGCGGGACCTCTTCTCTTTTTCTCTCCCCTCCCTGCGTCCCCCCTCCTGGGGGCGTGCGTGGGCTTTGGCCCGTCCTCTCCGCGCGGCTTGTGGTCGGGGGGAATCTTCGTCGGCGCAGGGGGGGTGAGCAGGATTGTATGGAGCAGGGGGTAATGGTGGTGGTGGTGCTGGCGATGAGCATGGAGGGGACAAGACGGTAGCATGAAGCATGAGGGAGGACGGAGGAAAATAATGATGGAGGAGAAAGGAGGAAGAGAGGTAAAGGGACGGAGAGATGGAGGGATGAGGATGATGGGGTGGGAGGAGACGGAGGAGGAGGAGGAGGAGGAGGAGGAGGGCGAATATCAGGGGGGTGATCGTGGTGGTGCTGGTGATGATGGTGGAGGGGATGGGGCGGAAACATGGGGGTGGAGGGAGGAGCAGGAGGGGGGCAGGGAGGAGGTAGGAGCCTGCTCTCCCGGTCTTCCAGTCTCTCTCTCTCTCTCTCTCTCCGCCTCGCGGCTTCTCGCTCCCAGGCCTCATCAGCGTTTGTGGATGATCACCCTCGTGCCTCCGCCTTCCGGGCTCCCCCATCCTTCCTTCCTGGCCCCAGTTCGTCCTCCCCCCCACCGTTCCTCAGCCTCCACCGTCCCTATCTCAGCCTCCGTCCCCCAGTCTGTCCCCCCTCCCACCCCCTCTTCGGCCCGCACCAACCCCAGCCTCCACGCCCGTCGTCCCAATGTGTGCCTCGTTGGCACTCATCTTCCGCCTCGCCACCCCGGATGTCCGCTGGCGGTCTTCGCCGGCGGCGGCGGCGGCACAGAACACTCGGCTAGGGAGCGCGGTGCCGACTTCGGCGGGCGGGCCCCTCCCACCCCACCTCGGGTGGTCGGGTGCCCCGACGGAGGCTGTGCCCCACGCGGCACGCGCCGAGGAGAGACACCCAGAGCTGCCTTCGGCATGCGGCCCGTGGGCAGACGGCGAGAGCCGCTCCGTTGCTGAGCCTGCGTGCCCGACGTGCAGTGTGGTGTCGTGTCAGTGGCTTACTGTCGTGCGGATGTCATTGCCAACACGGCGCCAGCGCCGACCGCGACGCCCGATGTTGCCGCAGCCAGGGTCGAGTCCGCCCTCTCTCCTCTTGCTTGTTGCCGCTGCTGCTGCCTGCTTTTCAGCTTCCCTCTCCTCCCTTCGGTTCAGCTGTCGGAAGCCTTCATACGATGTCCTCTCCCTTATCCCCACCCTTCTGCCCGTTTCATCCGCATCTTCCGTGTTGACCGTCCTCATCGTTGTCCGCGTTGTCGCCCGTGTCGCCGTCTTTTCGCCGTCGCCGTCGCCGTAACCGTCGCCGCCGTCATCGTCGCCCTCGCCACCACCGTCGCAGCCGTCGGCCGTCGCCGTCGCCGCCCTGCCGGCGTCGTCGTCGTCACGGCCGCGGCTGCCACCGTCGTCGAGGCCCCCCCCGCGCCGAGGACCGAGAGGAGGCCGCCGCCGCCGCCCTCGCCGCGGGGGCGGCCGCGCCCGAGCTGCCGGACCCGCCGGCGGCGCCGAGTGCGCTGGGCCCCGCCTAGGGCCGAGGGCCGCAGCCTCCCGCCGCGGCCGTCGGCGGCGCCGCCGGCGCGGTCGGGGCCGACCGCCGCCGCGGCTGGCGTCCGCCAGTGCCGCCTGCGCCTCGCCGCCTCCTGGCGCCGCCGGGGCCGTTTGCGCCCCGGCGCCGCCGTGGCCGTCGGCGCCACCGCCGCCGGCCCCCTCGCGCGCCGCGCCCGCGCAGCGGGCGGCGGGAGTGCGCGGCCTCGGCTCGCGGGAAAGGCAGGGGGGGGAGGTGGCTAACACGTGGCTGGGGCCATGAGATCTTCTCGGGTTTCATGGCCCCCTCTTTCTTGAACTAATCGGGGCGCTGCCTTGTCGTGTCCCCACCAGGGCCGCGTGCATGCCTCCGGCTATGATTTGCGCACCCCTGTTTTGGACGCCCCCCTCTTGGACGACCTCGATTCTCCTGCGCCTCGCTTGTGCCCGGGACTCTGCCGCGCGCCCAGGGGGATGGCGACTGGGGCGGGCCTTCTCAGGAGGTTCCTCTTCCGAAATTAGGGGCGGCTTCTCGGAAGGCAGGAGGGCTTCTGGAAGCTCCCCGCCGCCTTCTGAGAAGGCCTGCCCCCTCTCAGTTTCCCCCTCGGCGCGCCGCCGAGGGAAAGCCTCAGGGTCAAGGACGCGCAACGACTGCGACGGGCGTCTTCGCTCCAGCTCGGGCCCCCTGGCACACTCGCGGGTCGATCCAGCTCGAGACGTCCGTGGCAAAGAGCCCGAGAGAGAGGGTCCCACGTGGATCCCAGGAGGACTCCAGAAAGAAGCCCGAGAGGGCCCAAGAGAGTCCCCAGAGGGCCCCACGAGGCTCTTGTCGGTGGTTTCGAGGTCCCTCCGAAAGCTCGAGCATGCAGAATGCAGACTGTGGTTACGCCCTTGTGAGCTGACAGGTGACCTCACCCCGCCGAGAGGCCTTGAGCGGCAACGGGGGGCACTTTCGGTGCAGCACCGCAGCACGCCACGGCACGGCAGAGCAGCACGGCGCGACAATTTCGCGCCACGGGGCGGAGTTGGCCCTGTTCTGTCTCCTGTTCTAAACATTGTCTGGGGCGGGGATGGGGGAGGTGGAGCGTGCGGAGGGAGCCAAAGAGGGGACGCAGGAAGCAGAGGGGAAGAAGGATCGCATGGAGCAGGGGAATGATGAGCACTACTACATCACCATTAGCAGAATTTCGGAGGGGACTGCATCAGAGAGGAGCACGACGCGGCATCAGCAGACATCTACGGCTCAAATTCGTTGTCCCAATTCTCGTCAGCACGGCGGGCGGACGCCACTGGGGGCCTGGAATCGGCAGGCACCTCGAGACCTGTGCTTTCGGAGCGCTATTCCCCTGCACCCCCCGACATCCCCCGGCATGATCTGTTCAATCCGCGGCTCCAGGGGTCCCGTTTGTCTCCCCGGGGGGCAGCCTCTTAGGTCACCCGCGGGGTCGCGCAGAGAACCGCGCGCCGCGCACCTCGGGGCGCGCTGCGCGGAGTTGGGCGGCCTGGGCTCTTCTCGGCTTCGCTTCTGGTGGCTCCTGGGGCCCCGAGGTGGCCAGACCCAGGGGAACAAAAAGTGACATGAACATAAAAACTCGGAGGGTCCGCGCAGATTTCTCGGATCGGCGCCTGGACCCCCCCGCGGCGCCTCCGGCGCCGCCCCTGGCGCGCTCCGCGCGCCAGGGAGGGGGGTCCAGCCCCGATCCGAGAAATCCGCGCGGACCTCCGAGTTTTTATGTTTATGCCACTTGTTGTTCCCCTAAAACCGCCGGGATTGCACCAGGTCGGGCCGTCGGAGATCCTGGGAACGCCCCAGCGCCATAGTCGGTGCTCGGCGGCGAGCCCAGGGGGGAGGGGCAGAGGGGGCCAGGGCGCGAGCTACAAGGTGTTTTGGCAATTTCGTGGACCGTCTTCGTTTTGACTCCCTTTTGCAGCAAATCTGGAACGAAGACAGAACTAGGGATGACGAAAACAAAACGAACACGGAAAACACTGTTTAACTCGAGCCCTGGAGGGGGCGGGCCTTCTCCATCCTCCAGGAGGCTCGGAGCGCCTCTGGCCCTCTGAAAAGTTGTCCGAGCCCTCGCCGAAGGCAGAGACCGGAGGAGTCTAGGCGCGCCGCCAGGTCTGCTTTTTGGGTCGTACTCTGTGTCCCTCAATAGTTTTGGGGCTCCGGACTACAGGTACCCCCCGGACTACAAGTACCCCTCCCCCGGACTACAGGCCCCCCCCCCCGAACTACAGGTACCCCCCCCCGGACTACAGGTACCCCCCCCGGGACTAGAAGTACCCCCCCCCCGGACTTTAGGTACCCCCCCGGACTACAGGTACCCCCCTAGCCCCCGGGACTACAAGCCCCCCCGCATTCGCTACGTAGTCTCTGGAAGCCAAAGCGGCCCGCCAAGATGCGTCCGCACACTTTCACTTAGGCGTGCTAAGAAATTCGCCATCGTTGGGCCAGCGGTCGGGGCTGAGCACTCTCGACGGACGAGTGGGCACGGAAACGAGAAGATAACGAGGAACGGAACGATACATCTACAAAGAAACAGAAAAATAAGCAGGGGAACGGACGAACAAAGAGAGAGAGAGAGATAGGAAGAGAAACACAACAGACACATAATGATTGTCGGAGTGACAGGAAGAGAGGTCCCGCGCGCGTAAGTACTAAACACCCGCGTGCATGGAACCACGCGTGCTTTGAGGCATGACCATAGTATGCCCCCCCCCTCCCGGACTACAAGTACCCCCATGCGCGCCCCCCCCCCGGACTACAGGTACCCCCCCGGGGGCTGGCCAGGACTACAGGTACCCCCCCCCCCGGACTACAAGTACCCCCCGTACCCCCCCCCCGGACTACAAGTACCTCCCCCCCGGACTACAGGTACCCCCAGAAATATTGAGGGACACAGTAACTCGGTTCTCCAGTGGCCGTCCGAGACGATCTGGGCACCCCAGGAACGCTCTCGGAAGGGGGCACCCCGGGAACGCTTCTCGGTCGGCCCTCGTCGTCCTTCGTCGTCGTCCGAGGGGGGTGCCCGAGGGTCCGAGGAGGGCACCGAGGGGACCCCAAAGGGCTCCAAAGTGGGGCGCCGAGGGGTCCCGAAGAGCCCGGAAAGGCCCCGGGGCCCTCCAGGAATCGGATAACCTACGGGCGGGGTTGGGACAAGGATAGGTCCGGTGTTCCAGAACGCTCTCAGAGCGTTTTGGAACGTTCTGAGAAGGCCTCGGCGCCCGATGCATCCTCCAGAGAGCCGCCAGATCTCGGAGAGATTCTCGACGCATCCTCGCCCGGAGTTGTCCTCGTCCTGGCCTCGTCTGCAACCTCGAGCCCGAAGCACCCCCCCCTCTCGGCGCGCCACCCAGGTGCTCACCGCACACCAAACCACCCCAACCCAACCCGAAGGCCCCGATCTGCTTTCCATTTCCAGAAGGGTCGGAGGCTGATCGACCTCCTAACCCTAATTACCCTGACACGTCGATTGAGGAATTGGCCGTTTTCGGTTCGCGAGAGGGCGTCGCGGCCGTCATTTTTGCGGGTCCAGGTCCGTCGGTTCCGGTCCCAGGCCGTTTTCACTAGAGGGAGGTTTACGAAAGGGAGGTTTGTCCACCGCCGAAAGGGGGGGGGGGGGGTCGGGGAACATGGAAAAGCACACATGGATTCCGTCCCCCCCCGTTCCCGAAGTTCGGGTCTTCGGGTTGGGTTGGGGTGGTCTGGCAGGCAGTCCGGGTGCAGAGGCCCGCCCGCGGCCATGGCCCCGCCGGCCCCGGCCATAGAGCGGCTCCCTGCAGCGGCGGCCGCCTGCGTGCGCGGGGCGGTGCTGCTGCCCTCGGTCGCCCGGGTGGTGGAGGAGCTCGCCCGGGCGGTGGAGGAGTCGACCAGGATGGTGAGGGCGGGGCAGCGTTCCAAGGCTGCCCTCGCATCCTGGCCCCCGTCGGTATTCGGCATCCTTCGGCCTTCTGCTGCGCTCCGCACGGAAAGCGTCAACAGGGCGCCCCAAGGCCCTTGCATCCCTACAGTCGACCCGCAGAGCAAGGATCGGCATCCCTCCCAAGGGTACCCTTGCATCCTTGCTTCCTGGGTCCATCCTTGGACACTCTCGTTGGCCGCGCCCCGCTCGAAACGCTGTGAAATGGGCGTCCAAGGGCCTTGCATCCTTATCGCGCATCCTGCGGGTGGACTGTACCGCGCATCCTTCCTATCCTGGTCGAGTGGTGTAGCTGCGCACCTGCCCAGAGGAGGACGAGGTACCCATGCGGCCACCCGTCCTTCTTGTTCCGCCTTTCTGGGCCTCTGGGGGGCCCTCGTCGCCACGGCTGGATTCTCTTCGAAATTCTGGTCAGAGCGCTTCCCAGTGCCGGTCTGGGGAGCGGCGGTGTTGGTACCCTTTGTTTTTCCGATCGGAGGACACCAGCTGCACACGTGCGCCGATCCTGGCCAGGCCCATCTTTGGAAGAGCGAAGCAGAAGCATAGACGCGACGCAGAAAAACGGGGTCGTCTTCACCCACATTGGCGCGTAAGCTGCCCGCGTAAGGTCGCGCATAAGCGTATTCCTAGCCCATCTGAAAGTGTTTGTACGCGATTGCGTTTCAGCCTATCGATCACGGCGTTGTGCCCTCCGCCTTTCTGGCTCTTGAGAGTACCCGTGACCAGCCCGTCGCCTGCGGTGTTCTTTACACCAAACTTTGTGTGCTGTTGGCATATGTGTTGGTAGTGTGCGGGACAGCACCCACCTTGATACGACTCTGTGGCTCTCCTCGCCCAGCCTTCTGCTCCAGTGCCGTGTTTCGTGAGACGTATCCAGCTGCCTGCGGCAAACCCCGTCACCGCGACTGTGCGACAGCGCAGCTGGACGGTGGCTGAGTGTAGGAACAGGGCAACTCTGAAGCGGTTTGCTTAGGGCGGGCTGTGAACTCTGCCACGTCTTCGTCCGCGCTGTAGGAGGGAGGTCGGGTTCACGCCGCGCGGCAGTTCAGCGAGTTGTTTGAATTGGGCTGGTCGTGATTTCA